ATTTATTTAAGACTTCGATCTCGCTAATTAATAGCAAAATACACCGCAAAAGGATATTAATGTATTCTTAATACAGGGAGCTCGGTACGAACAGTCCTATTCGCTTTAGGCTTGCTTCACGCGTATCGGAGATACGTAACACGGTACTGCTCGACCAAGCGTTGCACATCGAAAGAACATAAATCTCGAATAAATAGTATACGATCGTACGATACAAATAATCGGTCGCGATTAATAATATATTGTAAAAAAAGATAATATAATGTAAAATAAATAATAAATAATTTAATAATATATTAAATAATGGTCGCGATTAGAATAATTTATATGTATACAGGGTGTCCCAGGTTTTAATGTTCAAACTTTGTCAGTATATTCTATGGCACAAAGTAAGAAAAAACTGTTATGTAAACATAGGTCATATAGAGCTTTATTAAGAAGTTATAACAAAAATTCAGAATAGGCATAGTAATCAACTAAAAAAAAAAAAAAATAAAAAGGAATCTTCGATCGATGTCAATCATGTATTGTCAACAACGGTTATTAATACATTTCGAAATGTATTAATAAACACAGCTTACATAAACACATGGCATATGCTGATCTATTCAAGCCAATGCTCGCAGTAACAGCAAGTTGATTACTATTCCTATTCTGAATTTTTGTTATATCTTCTTAATAAAACTCTATATGACCTGTGTTTACATAACATTTTTTTCTTACTATGTGCCATAGAATACACTAACAAAGTTTGAACATTAAAACCTGGGACACCCTGTATATGATATTAGTCATCTTGACGCAACGACTCAAGGATCTAATTATTCGAGAAAGTTATTAGGCAGCAATATCAAAGTTCGGTAACTTGTTTGCGTGCATAGATAAAGCCTTGAAACACGTACGGCACATTTCTCGTAGGAATATCATCGATGCCGATTACGATGCAACCGATCGCCTCGCCAAGAATGTTTTCTTACGGCCAAGTCCCTGGATGGGAAGGGCCCAGTCCCCTTTATTGGATTTAGTCCCCTAATGATTTTGTCAAGCCGGGATGGAAAGAACCTGCCAACATTCCGTCGTGACTCGTTCTGCATTCGAATTTGGCGCTGCAACCACAATCGACTAATCGACGGGGATCCCCTCGTAAATTACAGTTCACGGATCGTAACACATCCCTTAACACAATTAGTCGCGAGAAATAGCTAACGGCAAGATGATTCTTTTTAACGCGTGTCAACGCTTCGACTTTCGATTGAAATTTTTGTCTTTATAAACTCCGCGATTCTCCTCCGCGACACCTGCTCAGAAATTGTTGCAGACATGTATCGATCGTTATATTGAAACGACGTTAATTGAATTTTAGTGTAGGTATTAATGTAGGTACAAAACATATAGATATGTCGCTAGTTTTATAAAACACTTTAAAGTATTCGCGATCAGTTTGCAATATAAAGAAGAAACAAATACTAAAATGCAACAGATCGATTTATAACTTTTATACGAACGAAATGTAAATGCATAAAAACTCAAACATTTGTATGTCGCTAGCACTTAACGTGACAAATATTGTCTAAACAGTTATACAGCTACAGCAGTTAACGGTCGTGTTACTTTGAAAATAAAATAGGATATGTAAGTACGAACATTAAGAAAAAATGTAATTTCCTTAAATAATTTTTCTATACGTTAACTAATGCTCTTATGTCCGTCGACATAAATTCATCTTCGTTGTACATTCGTTTTGTACAATTCTCTGTACCTACTTATAAAAATTGCAATTTCCGTGAGAAACGATCAACGATAACTTAGAACTATAAATGCAAGGACCCAGATTTCCATCTAATATTTGAGCCGTTTATTTTGAAAGTGGCATAAGTAACTTTGTTTTTAAGTCGATATATTTAAGGGTTTGCGTTTTAACACGTTTAAAAATATGGATGCTAACTTTCGAGAAGATTTACTTGTATTTGTAATCTCAGGATACTGATATTCTTCTCAGTATAAATAATTTCGTATAGACATTAAAAAATCACCACTTTTCATTACGGTAAAGTGACTTAAGCCACTTTCAAAATAAATAGTTTAGAAAAAGTGTGACTGACATATATTACATATATAATAATAATTTATACCATGAGCATATTTAATATAAAGGTTTGATTTAAGTATTTTTTATTTTAATATTCATAAAATACAAAAATAATTAGTACATTTTGAAACATAAGTATAAGTAATTTATATGAAAATACATCGGTTCAATTTAATTTTCGTCATCAATAGGAGTGATTAAGTCCTCGGAAATCGTGTATTGTTTCAAATTTTTAAAATAACTGTGGTATATTGGGGGTATATAATTAAGCAAGTCCATCATGTCTTTGTGTTTTGCTGAAGAAACAGGACGAGATCCAGCGTATAACGGATCCATTTCTATTTGTGAATAACGCCTAGGTCTTCCTCTTTTTGGTGACAAATCCAAAGTTAGAAATTCATCTTTTTCATCTAAAGTTAGTTTATAAAACATTTTATAGCCATCTGCTGGCGGGTCTGGAGGTAGCCGCCGCATCACTATAATATAATTTACAAAACTGCACTATTTTTTCGCACTTATAAAAATAAGTCCAGTGATCACAACTTTTTCAAAAATACTGAAAATAATACAAAACAATACTTCACACACACTTATCACACGTTTCTATTTCTTTTACACTAAGCCCCGCAATTAATTTCCCGAGTACAGCGACTTACGCCACTTTGCAAAATAAACATGTTTGTTATACCGTTAATTAGCAAAACTTCTCTCGAACAAATCTCAATAGTTCTCAACTTACTGATTGCAAATTTTAAAAAAATGAAAAGATACCGTTCAATTCTAATTAGTGTTACCATTACCTCGATTTTTTTGAAAAAGTGACTTATGCCACTTTCAAAATAAACGGCTCATTTAGAAGCCACATTGCGCTTATTCCCGTGCGTGTACGTCTGCATCTGCATTTTTGTAGCAATCTACCTAGAAAGGTTCGCGCAGACGTAGCAGAGCAAGAACATTGAACAAATCGGAGACACGTCGAAGCAGGGAAGATTAATTGTTGCCCAAAAAGTCGATCTTTCGGGCGAAGATACGCAAAACACAATCCTCCCAATTATTTCCTTAAATGCCTGACGATGTCTGAACGAACAGGGGTATTGCCCTGCGGTTCTCTCGCTATTACGCGATACTAATAAATCTTTCTCGCGGTAGATATACACGTATCGTTTCTTCCCTCGCTCCTCGATCTTCCGTCGTTCCAGGAACGGGGCTCTCGATCATACACCATTAATTATCAAGACAATGCATGAGGATTAAGTTTTTCTGTAATGCGGACCGCCGAAAACGTACGCCACGTCAGGCGCAGATCTCCACGTCAACGGACGTCAACTCTAAATGGAAATGTCTTAATTATCAGAGCACGTAGTGCCCGACAAAAACCACCGTCAGGCTGGTGCACTGTCCCGCCGCGACGTTATACATTCGCCATGGCCGAGGAAGATTCTCATGCGAATAGGGCTGGCCCATTCGGATGCTGTTCCCGTGTTCCCTCTTTACCACCGAAACCGACGACATTTATTGGCAAAGAAACGAGTTCGAAATAATACAGCACGATATAAGAGCACGCAGAACAAGGAATCGTTAAGTACTAATGGTACAGCTTGTGTTGGAGCTACGACGAACGAGATAGCAGAGTATCGATCAGACTTGTTTCTAACGGAGCTGTGCTAATAGACCGAATGGACAAAATTTATGATCGTTTTCATGTTTGGCAACAAAAAACGATAGAATTTATTTCTGCGCTTTACTCTGGATCGGCCGTAACGATACAGCAAATATTCTCGCGCCTCTAAAGGTTGGAGAAAGAGACAATATTTCAATGGAATGTACACTCGAAGGGACGTTTTTAATTAAAATTTCATTGAAATTTGAAGGAAATTGTTGAAGAACTTATTATTTGTTTGTTATACAAACTGATTTTAATGGAACTTGTGCGAAAGATAGTTTCTGTAAAAATATTCGACGTATATTTTCTGCTATAGGCCGACTTTCACATCGAGGGGGTGAAAGTCAGGGCTTGAATGAAACTATTAAAATTTTCAATTGACTCTGGTGTAACAGTTATCTCTAGACACTTAACTCTTCTATTTTAATAAAATAATTATAAATCGACTGAAACTTTTATTCCATATATTTATGCATAAACACGTAATTTTTACTTTTCTTAAAAACGGCAAAAATTTCTAGTTAGGCAGTAACAGTTATTCTACTTTGACAAAGTTAAAATACTTTCAAACTTTACTGTTTACTATTAAAAGTAATCGAGTCATACGAAGAGTTGATTTAAACGTAAATATGTATACTAGAATATTGGATTAATCGGAGATTAATACAATACGACTGCCTACATAATGTACATTTTTGATCCTATATGCAGCTAAGATAAATGTTTCTCTGAGAAATGATTGCATTCGAAAGAAGCATACTGTATTCTAATTCTAATTAATATATCAGATTTGTAAAATGAACAAAGTTTCTATCGTACTTCCCATCATTTCTAAGTACGTATATCGAATTTTTTTTAATTGTTTTATAATACAATAAAATAACCAAGAGTAATTTTATCGAGGATAATGTAAATTAAACGAGTACAGATTTGCCTACCAAACTGTTAATATTGCGGAGACTATAACCAACTTCTTAACTGGCGATAAAATATTTGTAGATAGAAATAAGAAATTTCAAATTCGATATTGTTTAGTATATACCATAATGTACACCATGTGTTGTTTTACGCATGCGTATTCTTATTAATATGTACTACATGTGCACTACATAATTTTAAATCATTTTTGTTTGATTAGCCTGTCGTTTTCAACATTCGTGTGAAAAACATCGACCAGTTTTTCAGATCCACAGGAATCAGCCAATGGTTGTTTGCACTTTTTGCGCAAGTGCAGTGAGTACAGTCGATGCGAACAAACCTCATGTCGACCGATGCGGATGGACGAGCGGCAAATAGTTCGCAGTGCGAATTAATTTCGAATAAAAACAATCGTTCGAATTTATGGATATTGACTCGTCTCGTCTATCATACTATACTAACATGTGACACGCAAAGGAAAGAATACGGTTGAAACTCTGCAATTTGCAGCAAAATATGAACATGTTCTAAACATTTGCAGTATCACCTCCAGATCAACTGTCATAAGCAGACGATACACAGGTGAAATTTATGTTTTAAGTAATAATTGACTGAAGTACTTCATCTGAAAATAAAAAATAAACTTACTACGAGTTTAAAATCAATAAATCCACGTTCTTATAATTATGTTTTTTTTTGTAATCCACATTTTCGTGTAACGTCTATAATCTTTTCAACTAATTCAGAGACTGTAAAGCAGTGTTACATCCTTGATAGTATAGAATAATGAAATTACATACGAATTCGTAATAAATAAATGAAAATAATTTTGAACAATGGGTCGAATCATCGAAAAACATGAAAATAGAATTAACACTTTACTAACGATTATATCGAGCAATTTTATCAAAGATTAATAATATAATAG